GGGCCTCAAGTTCGGAGAGATTCCGAATCGAAGCACTTTTGTCTTTTGAGATGGTGTAATGCTCTTGAGTTGTTCTACTTCAGCTTCTTTCTTCTCCAATGTCAGCTTAAGGTTTGTTATCTAAGATAGAAGAAATACTTAACAAAGATTTGTTGCATTTTGGGACTTGCCAAAGGAATGCCATCCAAGGAATAGAGAAAGGAAACTTAACCTCTTCTTTCAGTTCCAGTATGTCACCAGTTTCTTTGTTAGATCGAGCTGCTCCGAGTTCTATCAAGGCAACTCTTTCGGCAAACTTCAACGTGCTAACCGTCTCTCCAATGGCGTCTGGTTTGGGACTTATATGTACAAGCATTAAAGTCTTGGCCTGCCCACCTATCATGTATGAAATCAAATGTCGAAGAAACGAGACGAGAAAACGAAGACAGTAAGGAGAAGAAAGCTGAATGGAAGAAAAGAACAATGCACATAAAGAATTCTGCAATATTTGTGTAAGCTTGCTGTTTCTGTAAGGAATATGTGTGCTCTTCTGGGCAAGAGCTGAGATGACATCTCCAAGTGCAGAGAGTGATCTGTTGATATATTGAGCTTCTTTCAGCCTGTCGCCTTGAACTCTCGATTTATCGACTCTCTCACTCCCGGCCAAGTCCACCAAGTTGAGAGAACCTTTGAAAATCGACCCCGAAACCAATTCTTTTCCGTGAACGTGAACAGTCAGAATGCTGGTGAAAAGAAGGATGCAGACATAAACCATGCTTAACAAACGTATTCAACTCGACTAACACAACTTTCATAGATAAAATTCTACCTATGGGAATGGCTACTTCGCTCGTTAAATGCTGTCGGACCTACTATACGGTTCTTTTGGCCTATTCTTATCAGATCAAGAACATCTTTAGTACTAGAAACCGGAACCCAACTTGCATCAGGAACAGTAAGGCCATTCAATTGTGTATTGTTATATATATCTAATGTAACATGTAGTTATGGGAACTTTTATGGCTCAAGGTAGGAGAAAGAGATCCAAATCTAGAGACTGAATTGAGAACAGAAAGCAAAATTCAAAAGGATATCTTTTAGTAGAGCCATCAATAACTAGCAAATCTCTCACTTGTTCATTGTAGATTTCAATAATTTGAACCCCAACTTTGTATTCTATAACATCTTCTCTTGTCATTGATATTTGAAATAAGTCGCATATAGCTCGAAAATTCACACCCCACGTCTCCTTCGTGTTCAGGTCGTACCCGCTCTATCAAATACACAAAAAGTCCGGCAACATATTCATGTTTATACATCTGAATGACAAACTTCTCGAGTATTGAAGATATGCATATAAGTAATATCATCAAAAAGCATTCGTTTTACCATGGTGTATGTCCTGCCTGATCCGGTTTGGCCGTATGCAAAGATGCATACATTATAACCATCAAGTACGGACCTGATCAATGGTTGAATGTTTGAGTATATTTGTTCTGCACATATAGAAGAAGAGATTGTTCATTGTTCAAGTTAAATCCAAAGCTGGAAGAAGAGATCGAGCAAAATACCTTGAGAAGAAGTTGGTCCAAACACTTTGTCGAACGAGAATATTTTTTTCCAATCTTTGCCTTTCCTTAAAGAATTGACGATGAGGATACTTCCGTTTTCTCCTATGTAGTCTACTGTCGATTGATCTTTCGGCTCTCCGGGTAAAAAGGGCCTTACCCTGCAGTAGATTCTTATTTTTCCTGCATAAAAAGCATTCGAAATAAGTGCAATAGTTCAAAACAGTATTCCGGTTTAGTTTTTAATACGGTGATAATCTAGACTATGCACCTTTGAGGTCCAACACTTCATTGAATAGCATTTGATTTTCTTGTATGATCTTGAGGTAAGAAGAAGATGCCACTTCAAGAAGATGCCACTTCGAGTTCACTAACATGATGCTCTAAGGTAACAGGACAAGGTAAATTCCAGTCAATGGAAAAATGTACTATTTTGATTGCAGGTGTAGTTTAATGGTGACATGCTGGGAAACCCTTACCTAATCTTTTTATGTCTACCTCCCAGGATGAATGGAACTTTCGTACTTCTAATCTCGTTTCTCGAAAAAATAACTTAAGATCCTAAAAGTTTCCAAAAAGGAAGCTGCAAATGTTATAAACTAAATACTTATCTTGCTATTCTTTCTAAAAATCATGTAGTTTGGAGGGAACATTTCACCTCGATATGTCTCTGTATAAGATCGGAAAGTATTTCAACACGGCCGGGAGAGCGAGAAACACTATTGAGAATAACCTCATTGTTGCCAATACAGATTAGAGCTTTGGAGACTTCAGCTGCTGCCTGATGGTTGCTTCTTTTGTCAATATAATCTGAGGTAGCTTCTATGAAATCAGATTTAGACGCTGGACCATCATCCACAGCTTTCAGCAATTTCTTCAAGAACAGTCCAAGTTGTAAATAAGGTAAAGATATATATATATCAATATTCCTCACATTAAATCAGCAATGTACTTAAAGTTAATGCTAAAAGAGCAAGAACATGATGCAGACCTTGATTCCTTGAGAAACTAGAAGCGTCGAGAAGTCGTTAAGGACCTTGCTGAGGAAGGAATCAATCACCTGCAAAGACTCAGTGAATCCATGACATATGATCATATGAAATCACATACAACAAGAGTATGAATGTGCAGTGAGAATATGATAGATCTTACCTACCATTGCATTCAAGGGAAATTTTTCATCCATGTTACCGTCTGTAAGATAAGCCTCTAGAATCCAACGGCCGAAGCGATCAAAAAGGAAAGTTAGAGCATCGGAAGTTTTGGATTCTTCAATGGAGGCCTCATTGGAGAGCTGGATAAAGTCTCGTAGCTGTTCATATTTCGATAATTCCGATTCTTCCCCGGTTTCATCAGCAAGTCTTTTGGTTGTAGAGCTGGATAAGGAATGCGGTAAATCGTTTGTGGAGGATGTGATCTTTACAGTTCCACCATACCTCCAAACCCCAACTCCACCTGCTTTCTTCCACTCATGATATCCTTTCAAACACAGAATGCAATCCACCACTTTGTTTATTGAGCCACCCTGCAAATGTTAATCAAGGTTTATAGTCATGGTGTATATGTGAATTACAGGTAAAGTGAAACCTTCTTTTTTTTTTAAATCGAAACATTTTTCCATATCTGATGCTTCAAAGGCCAGAAGCTGCTTATCTTTAACAGATGCTAGAAAGTTTCTCATGTTCTCGGAAACCTGATTCCTGTCCTCTTCTGTTAATTGAGCAGAAGAAGTGAATGAAGTTTTCACCACCTACATTTACCATATTATCAAAAAGAGCAAAGAAATATTAATCAGGTTCTAGTACATTACATGCAAACTAGTTCAAGGGAGAATAATAGTACTAATTCATGTTACAGTGTTTGGTAGAGAACCTTAGGAACAGCACCAGCACTGACTTTGTTGAGGACGTTGCAAAGAATGAACCCGTTGTAAAGTGCACGGCGGAATTCTTCTTCGGTAGGGCCTTTGGGCACGAATTCTAATGCAACCTGATTCATCTGCCTTAGCCACTCAGCTGCTTGGTACCTTCTTGAAGCTGATCAACACAGCAGTAACTTTAGCTACATTTTTCATTAGAAAAACAAAACAACTGGTTGGTTGAAAGTATATGTTTCGATGACCAGAAGTACTATTTTAGAGGCAACAAAAACAAAGGTGAGCCTACCCATGACTTGCTTGGCTTTATGAGGGGCTTTTTCCATCTCAGCTAAGGCCTTCATGGAACTGACACTAGGATTGGCACGCATCCATGGTCCATATTTCGGCAACGAAGGATCTGGAATGGACATCGCAGTGTCCTTGACACAATGAACATCTACATGGCCGACGCAGCCGCATTTGTAGCAGAAATCTGCTAAATGTTCATACTTGAAAGAGACCCATATATTAGATTTTCCAGCTCTGGAAGCCCAAAACCCTGAAGGGAGTGGTTTACTAACATCTATTACCACCCGAATCCTGAAGAACCCCCTCCTTATTCCATGTGAAGAAATGGGATCCTCAATCTCCAACACCCTACCAATCTGATCACCAACTTTTTTTGCATTTTTGGGGCTCATTTGGTCTAATGAGAGGCCATGGACCTGTACCCAGTAAGCCACTTGTGAAAAATCCAGCTCCTCGAGATTAAGCCCCGGTTGCCATCGGTGCAAACATATGCAATAGCCCATCACTGACCATGGCCCTTCCTCCAATATTTGCTCAGCTGCTCTAGCCTCTTTGAAGGTGAACAAGTATGTGTTCTCAGATAGTTCGGCAATGGTGAAATCTCTCCATTCTCCCCATACTCTTCTGAAAACGCCCTGGACTCCTCCTTTGCTCAGTGGCTTGTTTGCTATGATCTTCCCCACTAAAGCTAACCTTCTTCCATCTAACTCTCCCGCCTCACTTTCATCAAGGGTCAATACTTTTCCTTCTATCCAGGCTGTTTCCATGTGTACTTCCAATCAAATGGATTCGCTTTATTTTCTGATAGCAACAAAGAAAACGAAGATGAATGTGATGATGGGTGGATTTTAGAGAACTTATGGTAGTAGTAAGGGATGGTGGATGGTAGAAAGAGACCATCCACCATTAGTTGCAATGTCCATTGCTTTACACCAGTAAGGACATTTATAGAATTGGTAGCTCCATAATTCTCGAACCATAATGTTTCCTGTAACAACACTAGCAATCTAGAAAGTCAGAGACGAATAAATGACAGGCTTGAATCATTGCTTTATAGATATATTATTTAGGTTTGAAGGTATCCCGGGGTTCAAAAGTAGTTGTCATTTATCCATTTACAAATAAATTTTCATGGGCTTCATGCCTCCATGTAACCAATAGTCTACTTTGGTGGAATTTTATTTCTTTCTTTTTTCCCCTTTCCTTTCCCTTTTTGTTCCTCATCGTATATTCTGTGAAAAAAATAGGCATTTTCTCAGGCAATAATGCAACAAATCATATAGGTTTTTTTAAGTATACACATAATCAGCACCAAATTGCAACCACCGTACAAAATTTTAAAGCAATGTTTCAAAAGGCAGGACACTAATTCCTGTATACTTTAGAATCCTCAAGGCAAAGCCAAAAATTTTCCACGAGGAGAAGATCGGCTTCTTCGAAATTCAGGCATCATCGGACTAGTGTTATTTCCCTCTGTCGGAGTCCTGTCAGTTTTCCTTCCTAGTGATGGTACTACGGCTTGTGATTGTGGTTGCATGAATCCCCTATACATGTTGTGAATGCATTATTATCCATTATAAACTAGAAATTGGGATACAAATCTTAACTTGGTAAAATGTAACTCTTTAAGATCATATCAGGCTGCATTTATTACCCTTTGTGAGGATATGATATACCTTTGCTCAAGATTGTGTGAATTCCTTGAATTTTTGTGCCCGAGTTTCTTCATCTTCAAGGCAGCATGCATAGGAGAGCCAACAAATGATTGCTCATATTCTGGCTCGGAGAAGTCGCTTTTCGAAGCCTCCTCGGCATCCATTTCAGAAAGCAATGTCATTGCTGGTAGTTGGTGCTTCATTTTAGCCTTGCTCTCAGCCTTGCTCTTCCTGATTCCGCCTTGTCTGACATTAAGTGCTTGTCTAAACTGCTCATCTTCGTGTTCGGGGCGGACTTTGTTGATGCTAAGTTTTCGGAGGTTGTATAATGCATCTGAGATATTCTCTTGCTTTGCAGTTTCTTGGAAAATCGAATGAACCCTGGAGGAGTTGGCATCCGAGGATGGAGTCACATTAGTTGTGGCAAAGGATTTGTTAATGGGTACTCGAGCCGGAAATGGTACTTTAGAGACTGGTTGATTGTCAACCGTATCAGCCTTGATCCTGCCTCTATTAGAGGCTCCTTTATCGGTCGATAAGGATCGCCTAACCGGAGGGGACGGTGACCTTGCTTTTAAGGAACTTGCTAACCTGTCTTCAGCCGGAATAACCATCTTCGGCAATGACTCCTTGTCTGCGAACGCAGAAGGAAATCTCGACCTCCTTTGCTTACCTGAAGAAACACTTCTGATTGTGGCCTGAAAAACCAAACATATAAAATAGATGTAAAATATCCATTATTCAGAAAAGTTTTTTTGAATGGACACCATGTTTTAAAGTCACCTCGGGGATTCCATTTCTAGGAATCTGGAAAGGTGAAACCGCTCTTCCTCGTTGCGATTCTGTTGTGCTTCGAACATTTCCAGCTTTCAGTTGTTCTACTTCTGCTTCCTTCTTCTCCAAGGCAAGTTTAAGATTTGATATCTAAAACAGATTTTGACAGATAATAACTGTAATAACTGAACGAGGCCTTCTTGAAAGCAAATCAAAGTTGAAAGAAAAAATTGCATCCTATCCAAAACGTATGTACTTGAATTTTATGTTTCACCTCTTCTTTAAGTTCTCGGATTTCGCCGGCTTCCTTGTTGGATCGAGCTGCCCCAAGTTCTATGGAAGCGACCCTCTCAGCAAACTTCAGAGTGCTGATTGTCTCTCCAATGGCATTAACTTCGGGACTTATATGTACAAACATTAATGTTTTAGCTTGCCCGCCTATCACATAAAATCAAGAATGATATGAACACAACAAAATAGGCATGTATATCACTATAAACAAATGAATAAAAATAAGCTTATTTGTATGTATGTGTGTGTGTGTATATATATATATATCCATATATACCTAAAGAATCCTGTAATACTTGAGTGAGCTTGCTATTTCTGTAAGGAATATGTGCACTCTTCTGTGCAAGAGCTGAGATGACATCTCCTAGTGCTGAAAGTGATCTATTGATGTGCTGTGCTTCCTTCAATCTGTCGCCTACGGCCTCGGATTTATCCACTCTCTCGCTCCCGGCCAAATCGACCAAATGCAGGCAGCCTTTGAGAATAGATCCCGAAACCAACTCTTTTCCATATACATGAATGGTCAAAACACTGTGGAATACAATTGTGCCGAAAACATCATTTTCGATCATTTTAGTTCAGTAGCTAGCTAGCACGCGAATAGGCAAAGGTTTTACCGCAACAGCCTACCTGTGAGAACGGCTACTTCGCTCATTTAAAGCAGTGGCACCAACGGCACGATTGTTTTGACCAATTCTCATCAATTCAAGAACATCTCGAGTACTTGAAACCGGAACCCAACTTGCATCTGGAACATTTAGGCCATTCAACTGAGAATTGTTACGAATATCCAATGTACAGATCGTTAAGGTGAACTAAACCCCAAGATAGAAATTAAACAGAAACAGTTGAACTATGTAAACTAGAAAGTAAAAGAAAAAGTAAAAGCAAAAGGATATCTTCTATTAGAGCCATCCATGACTAATAAATCTCTCACTTGTTCATTGTATATTTCAATCATCTGCACCCCAACCTCGTATTTAACCATATCCGCTCTCTCCTTGGATATTTGAAACAGATCATGTAAAGCACGGTAGTTTATGCCCCACGTTTGCTCGGTAGTCAAAGCCGGGCCACTCTATGGAAAACAAACGACAAGAAATCAAGAGTATTAAGGCAAAATGCAGTACAGATAAGACTTGTGCATTTGCATACACAAATAGAGTGGATGAATGTACCATGGTGTATGTCTTTCCCGAGCCAGTTTGTCCATATGCAAAGATGCAAACATTAAAGCCATCTAGGACAGATCTGATCAGCGGTTGAGTGTCGATATATATTTGTTCTGCACAGTATAAAATCGATGATGCGAAATGTTGAGTATGAAGAAGCTAAGGATGACAAAGGTCTAAGTATATGGATCGGAATAAAAAAAACCTTGTGTGACATTTGGTCCAAACACCTTGTTAAAGGAGAATACTTTTCTTGCATCCTTTCCCTGTTTTAAAGGATTGACAATCATTATATTTCCATTTTCTCCGATATAATCTACGGTCGATTGTCCGTTTGCTTGGCCTTGAAGAAAGGGTCTCACTCTGCAGTACACTCTTATTGTTCCTGTTCGGTAACCAGAGAAGACTCGACATGTATAAATTGACGTTATATAAACGTCCAAAACAAAAATTCGTAATAATGATGAACAAAGGCAAACCTTTGAGGTCTTGAACTTGATTGTAAAGCATACGGTTTTCTTCTAATACCTTCTGATAGGAAGAGGATGCCACCTCAAGACCCTTGATATGATGAGCTAAATGCAAAGAATTCATCGTTAAACGACCATTAGAAAATTTGTGGTAGAACAATTTTCTAGATTCTTACCAAGTCTCTCGAGTTGTCTCGCCCAATTCGAGTGAATTTGTTTGACTTCGAGTTTTGTTTCTTGAAAATCTAATTTAATGTCCTAACATGATATAAGCAATATGTTGAGAAAATTTCACAAACTAACAAATGGTAGTGTTTGGAGTTTAAGGGAAAATGTTCAGACCTTAAGCTCTTTCTGCTGAAGATGAATAAGTTGTGTGTAAGCATTGGTGTGACTAATTGTTTGGTGAATAACCTCACGTTTCCCACCACAGATGCAGAACTTGAAGAAATCGTTCGATGCCATGCTAGTCCTTTGTCCGAGATACAGCGAGATGGCTTCAATGAAATCAGATTTTGATAGTGAATTAAGGTCAGCTTTCAAGATTTTCTTCAGAAACAGTCCAAGCTGCAAGAAAGCAGAAGTTTCAAAATATTAGAACACTAGAGTTCAATGAGAATGACATTAAGGTGTTCATCTTTGTCTGCGAAATTAGCGAGATTGGCAACCGTGAACTTGCTTTTACCTGAGTACCTTGAGAAACAAGCAATGCAGAGAAGTCCTTAACTATCTTGCTGATTAGTGTGTCTATTACCTGCAAAATTAGTTCAAGGAGAATGTCCTACGTTGCTTGTTGCAAGTTTAGAGTTTAGACAACATCGAACAGAAAATCGGCAATGGGTCTTACCTACCATTGCATTCAAGGGGAGTTCTTCAATCTCGTTACTCTCTCTAACGTAAGCTTGTATAAGCCAAAGCCCGAAGCGATCGAAAAGAAAAGCCAGAGCTTTGGCAGTTTTGGACTCCTCAACCGCAACCTCATTGGAGAGATGGAGAAACTCCAATAATTGTTCATATTGCGATGACTCGGATCCATCCAAAGAATCATCGGCACTTTCACTTCCAATCAAAGACGGCAGTGACCCTTTCGGGAGCGCCATGATCTTCACAGTTCCTCCATACCTCCAAACACCGATGCCTCCTGCTTGCTTCCATTCATAATATCCTTTTAGACAGAGAATGCAGTCTACCACTTTATTCATAGAGCCACCCTGCCAATTCAAGTCTTTCGCATTGATAAAAGCAACCAGCATAGCATATTAAATACTATAAATATTAACATTTTAACAAGAGTCCGTACCTTTTCAACATCAGAAGCTTCAAATGTCAAGAGCTGCATATCTTTGACAGCTACAAGGAAATTCCTCATGTTTTCGAAATACTGGATGGCAGACTGCGCTGCCCCTTCGGTCGACTGTTCCGGGATAATCGGATTCTCCACTATCTGTATTACACAAAACAAGTTTCCATATTTCTCAAAAATTTCGGAGGTTAGAGATAGCAAATTAAGTGTTGCAATAACAGTCTATTTAACGAACCTTAAGAACTGCTCCAGGATTAACTTTGTTGAGGACATTACAGAGAATTAGGCCATTGCGAAGTGCGAGGCAAAACTCTTCTTCAGTGGGTTCTTTGGGCAAGGATTCTGATGCACCTTGCTCCATTTCTCGTAACCATTGTGCTGCTTGGTACCTCCTTGCAGCTGATTCACATATAAATCAACCATGGATTAATTAGAGATGGAAATATACATATAACATATATATATAGAAAATACCTGCTTCTTCAGCTTTTCTTTGAGCTAAGCCATAATCATTGAAGATGTATTCATGAGTGGGTGAATTCTCCACACTGTTAGAAGCTAAAGCCTTTAAGCCTCTCAGATTCTTGGAAGGAGAAGTGAAAGTGGGATTAGAGTTTGTTTCCTGTGGCATATTTCTTCTTCTCTCTCTTGTAAGTGGTGTTTTCTTGACAGATAATCGATCACTGAAAGGAAAGTGATGACTCAAAAACACTAGGAAAGAACCAGTCCTCGCAAAACAACATAGATATGCTTCTACTTCTATATATATATAGGCATGCAAGAGTTAGCAAAGAACACTAAACCATCGAAGGGTATGGCAAAAACCCAGAAACCTTGGTAAGAAAACAGGATGAAGCTGATCAGTTTAATTACTGGCTGGACATATATATATCTGACAAGAAAGAAGCAAGGTGAAGCAGGTTTCCTGTGTGATGTGAAATGAACATTCATTAATAACACAAAGAAACTAAAGATCTGAGGTCTTATATAATGCTTATACAATTCATACCATGTATCAATATTTGTATTTGCTGAAGAAACAAATGGTCTTGAATTCTGTTTAATCTGGTCTAAAAAATTTACTGGGTAATTCGCTCGGTACATGAAAAAGATTATGAGAAAAGAAATAGATGGCTTGAATAGCAAATTTACAGTGCATGCCATTCTATTCTATTTCTTTTGTAACTAGGCGTTGAAATCTTAATCGGCATAGCAGGATTAATTGCATACAGTAACCTTATATTATCATCTCAATTCTAAATTGATCTCTAAACTTTAGAACCTTCTATTAAATTCTTAATGGCGTTGTTACTGTATCAAACACGTCGTTCTGTCAGTCTAACCATCAATTTAGAAATTAAATATCAATTTATATATGACATGAAACATATTTAAAACAAGGGTAAACTATGAATTTAGTATCTGAACTATTAGTTTTTGTTCGTTTTAATACTTAAACTTTCATTTTTTTTAAATCATATCGAATGTTTAGTTTTTGTTTCATTTTAGTATCCCCTATTAAAGACTTAGTGTGTTTAACACCTAAACTATCAGTTTTGGTCCATTTTAGTACCTAAACTTTCCTTTTTTTTTCAAAATCATACCTAATGTTTGGTTTTTATTTCATTTTAATACCTAAAATTAAAAAATTAACGTTTTTGTACCTAAATTATTATTTTTGGTCCGTTTTAATACCTAAACTTTCAATGCTTTCAAAACCATACCTAGTGTTTAGTTTTTGTTTCATTTATTACTCACTGTTAACAACTTAACGCGTTTAGTACTCAAACTATCATTTTTGATCCATTTTAATACCTAAACTTTCAATTTTGTTTGAAAAATTAACCGTTAAATTTTGAATAGTGGTACTAAAATAAAACAAAAACCAAACTTTAGGTATAGTTGAAAAAATTAAAAATTTAAGTACTAAAACGGACCAAAACTGATAGTTTAGTTGGTAAACGCGTGGTTTACCCTTAAAACAATGAATAAAATGTAAATTCGTGTGTATTTTGTAGGCGAATTGAATCATATTTATTTTCAAATGGTAAGTTCGACGAGAACATATATAATTATATCTCACAAGAAAATAATTCTTACAAATTATGATTCTGTCAATTTTTGTTAACATATCGTATGTAAATTATTCATACAAGAAGTATACATATGTTTCTTTTGTTTGGTTGTGTTGTGGGACACCATCGGGTGGGCAAGATGTGGCCAAAATGATGGGAATGGGCAAGCAATTTAGCTTTTGCTTTTAAAAGCCTTGCGATATGATTTTGTTTAATGTTTAATTATGGCTTTGTCTTTATCTTTTCCTTTGATTGATTCAACCGCGGTGATTAAGCATGTACATTTAGATGTGTGTGTATGTATGTATATATATATGTATGTACATGTATATGTACATGTACATGTACATGTATGTTTTCTAAAAGAAGTAAAGGCAAAAGTGAAAGTCCATTTTGGAAACATTGGATCCCTTAAAATAAAATGATTGCATAGGCAAGCTTTTGTCTCGGTTTATACATTTTGTACCTCATGGCCTTGCCATTAGATGGACCATTAATTAATATAAGGGTCTCCTCTCAACCATTTGATAATGACGTTCAATCATTCTGTTGTAATCGTTGGTGTGCTCGAACACGTGAGCTCTAAGAACAATAACGATTCCTTTAATCATTGAGGTAAGTTGGTTCGTGCTTAAACATCCTCTTAAATTAACTAAACAAGATCAAACCAAAGTCAAAACCTTGTTTTACAAGATTCAACCATGTATCATAATTTGTGCTTTTAAACTATTTGCTTTGGTTTGAGTGTGTTATAAATAACTCTTTAACTTTTCTTTTTCTTTTTCTTTTTTCTTTTTTGACTTAATTAAAGATTGCATTTTCGCACGATAAATAAACATATATGATTGTTGGGGACCCCCTAATCCATCATCATTCACGCATGTATTCATGCATGGCATGCCCACACTTTCTTCTTCCTTTACTACATTTTTTTGATAAATTTTACTAATACTAAAACTATATATATATATATCATTAATATATGTTTAGATCGGGTCGAACTATTGTATGTCATTAGTAAATTTATATTTGTTTAAGATCGATTTAATTTAAATTATGGATCTTAAATTTTATTTATATTTGTCGATATTCACGCATAAGATTACTCTAAATATATTTTAAACGTATTTATATTTTTATTTTTTTTTGAAAAATAAATTATGTTGTTTTAAAGTTAATATTTAGAGATTTTATTTGTTTTGCATTTAATTAAAATTTTAACTATATGCCCTAATTCTGGGCCAATCCCACTCCTATTGGGCTCACTTCACTTCAAATTTTACACATAAATGCCCAACAACAAGATAAATAGTAATCAAGTAATAAACAAGTTATTTTAGTGATTAAAGAAATAGTTGTTATTGGGTCTCAAGTTCGAGTATCAGAGACTGTAAGATATTCGAGCTTTCATTGTCAAATGGTTGAGAGTCTTTAGAACATATATTATCTACAACTTGTAAGCATACTAGATTAATAAAAAAAACCGATCAATAATTATAATTAGCATGTATAGCTAGTCTACCATTTTTATTGGTTAAATGTTAGTCCTTACACTATGTACAAATTATAGATTTAGTCTCTGTAATTTGATTAATTTTAGTCCTTGTACTTTTTAAATTTTAAAGTTCGGGTCACAATATGTCAATATAACCAGAATTAATTTTAAATCTGCAAATTACACATGCTATATGGAGTAATAGCATAATTTAACATATTTAATGACTATTAGGGGTGAGAAAAAATTATTTGACTCAAAAAATATTTTTTTTAGTTACTCGAGTCAAATTGAACTAGTTGTTTAAATCAAGTTTAAATTTTAAAATTTTGAATAAACGAAAAAAATCAAATATTAAAACTACGGTTTAGTTATGTAATTTGTTTGTTTTTTGTGATTCGGTCCATGATTTCATTTTTCTTTAATTCTTATTTCATTTAAGTCTATTTTTATCAAATTTGAACAACGTGTTCCTTACTTAACTACTTTAGAATACATGTGCAACCTCAATTCCTCTTTTCGACAACATTTTTTTTTTGTAATTTAATATCTCAACTTTACATTTTATTTAAGTTGGTCTTATAACGTTAACTCTTTACAAAGCCTTTCTTCTCATCAATTTCTTGATTCCTTTTACTGTTATCAACGTTTTGTCTCCAAAATATATTCTTTAAAATATAACATTATAAATATATCATATAATTTCATATGATATTCAATTTATTACCAACAACCAGTTGGTCTATTGGATAATATTCAAAGTTTACGAATGGAGCAAACTGGATTGAAAATATCGCCCTCGTCTCTACATACAGTACCCGATCTAGTTTTATTTTCATTCAAACAATTGACATATTAAATTTTAATCTTTAAATTCTATTTTGTATTTTAATATTTTACTTTTAGTTGGGAGCATCACGTCATGTTTTTTAATGTGTACTTATTTTCATGCTATATAAATTAACAATACATAGAAATAATATAATTTATTACAATTTTTTTTTTTAAAAAAAGGTATCAGGTGAGCTTAGGTATTCGCTACTAATTTTAAATTTGGTCTACATTTCAATCTTATTTTTATAATTTAAATCCTATTAAAATTAAGAATTATATTCTAAATTTAAATAAATAATCCGATGCTTGATAATCAGCTTATGAAAATAAATATATTTTTTTAATTATTAAAAAAAAGCTTATGAAAATAACAAGCCTTTTTGTGGAGTAGGGATCGGCGTTATTAAAATAATAACCAAAAATTATTTTTTTGGAAAAGTACCCGCATACCATATTTGTTAGAAAAATGTAAACTATACACTTATGACTAATTCGCGTCCTAAAAATACGAGAAAATGCCTCGCTTTGTACAAGGCACGAGATACGTCCAACGTGGACACACTTTTTAGAGAATGCAATTTAATATTGGTTTTAATGACATCGCATTACGCATAACGTGAGGTTCCTGAGATATTAAAACGTCCCCATAAATTTATTACGAGTGGTATTTAACACACCTCACGTGTTCCAATACGCGAGGTATATAGTTTTCCAACATAAATCGTAAGTGCTTATAGGCATGTTCTAGGGGTATTTTCAGGTATTTAATGTAACACCCATAACACATATAATTATACCTATACAGATTATAGATGTTATCCGAATTTTCTAAAAACCATTCTATAATTTGAGAGCGATTTAAAATTTCCATTTCCTTAAAATGGTAACTAATATTATAAAAATACCATATCATAAAAAGTAAGTTTCATTATAACCAATTTAATTCAAAAGATTTTTAATTATGAATAGTACCTGTAAATAGTGAAGAGTGGGGGAATCGATTCCCTGTAGCAAGGGAATCAATACCCTTTTACAATATGAAATTTTTTGCTTAAAACCGTGGTTACTGTTCATGCTACAGTACTTCCGAAAATTTACATATAAATTCATAAAAATTCACCTTTCATCACTATAAAAATTTCCAAAATTAATTAAACAAATAAATTGAACATTTTCAAATTTACATGCCACTATCTAAAATCAAATTTCACAATAGGATGTCTTACTGATATTGAAATATACCTTTCGATGCTTGATGTCGTTCTGAACTCTTTATTTTTATTCTTTGCTTTTTTACCTACGCGTGAAAATCATCACACGCTAAGTATAAACTTAGTGAGGCAATTAAAACAATAACAGTGCAATACAAGTCATGCATGATTTTCAATGTCAAAATTCGAGTTTCCATAAAATCATTTTT